TATGCTGTTCCAAACTACTTTGGCTTCTTCCACCAGAAAGAATTTCGAGCGCCAGAACAAAACAAACACCCAAACTCCATGGTTGTCACGTGTCGGGCCCTGGGAGACACTCGTCCGACACTGTTTCGACACTCTTTCGACGCTTTTCCGGGTGCTCGAATTTGTTCTGGGATGTGGTCCTTAAGTACGATGGGAGCAACACAAGGCTTGTTTCGATTCCCCCGGTTCGATTCGATTGGGTTTCGGTGGATTCCGATTCCGAGTCGGTTCGACTGCAGATTCCGATGTGGAGTCCGATGTCTCAAGGAGGCCTTATTGATCAGCCGATTTCAGCCGATTCGACTCCTCCAGACTCGGCTGCCGATTTCCGCCGATCCGATTAATTTCGATCGACGATTCGATTCATCGATTTGATTCTGGGCTCTCCTGTCATTCAGAGGAGGAGATGGTACCTATACCACTACCCCTCCTTCTCTTTCGCCTTTTGGGGCCTCCTGGGAGGTCCTCGTCGCCACCGCTGGATTCGCTTCGAAACTCTGGTTAGAACGCACCCTGGGAGAGGAGCGCCCACCCGTTTCAGGTTCTAGAATCACCTTGGAACCGTTTCGGTTTGATATTGGAACCTGACGCAGGTGATTTTCCATTTCGGCTGCTCTCATGATCCGTATGGGCCGCTGTTCCAAGCTGATGTTTCATCTGACCTTCCCCATGTGGGATGAAGGCTGAAGACCCTGCCGAAGAAAAGATCCCTCAATGTGGGAGTTCATTTGGGAATTTATTAATTTTGGGGGGCTCTGGTCCCCGAGAGCGCCTGCTGCTTTGGGGATCGCCCCAAATTGGTTTTCACCCCAGAACCGTTCCAGGCTGGTTTTCCACCTGGGACCCCCCCTCAGTGCAAAAAGGCGCTCTCGGGATAAGCGGGGAGTGTACCCCATGCCCCGAGAATCGCCATCTTCACATCGAATCTCTGATTGGGGAGCATCTTCTCGCGGCTGGGATCTCCTGCCCAGTTTCTGGAGCGCCCAGCTGGATTTTCATTCCGGAGCCGTTCCAGGATGATTTTCTGTTGGGATCCCCCCCAGTGCAAAAAGGCGCTTTCGGGGATAACCAGGGTGTACACCAGCCCAGAAGATCCGGCATCTTCCAACAAGAATCTCCTGGTGGGGAGCCTTTCCTCGCGGCTGGGCTCCCCAGCCCAATCCTTGGAGTGCCCACGTGGATGTTCATCCGGGAACCATTCCAGGATGATTTTCCATGTGGGACACCGCCCAGTGCAAAAAGTCATTTTCGGGGATAAGCGGAGAGCGCACCCCAGCCCAACAAATTGGCATTTCCATGTCGAATCTCTTGTTAGGGGAGCCTTCTCTCGCGGCTGGGCCCTCCAACCCAATTTCGGGAGCAACACACATGGATGTTCATCCCGGAACCGTTCCAGGATGATTTTCTATTGTAGACCCAGTGCAAAAAGGCGCTCTCGGGGATAAGCGGGGAGCGCACCCCAGCCCAACAAATCGTCATTTCCAAATCGAATATCTTGTCGGGGAGCCTTTCCTCGCGGCTGGGTTCCCCAGCCCAATGTTTGGAGTGTCCACATGGATGTTCATCCCAGAACCGTTCCAGGGTTATTTTCCATGTGGGATACTCCCCAGTGCAAAAAGGCGCTCTCGGAGATAAGCAGAGGGGGCACCCCAGCCTAATGTTGTCATTTCCAAACGGAATCTCTTTTATTTGGGAGCCTTTTCTCGCGGCTGGGCTCCCAAGCCCAATCTCGGGACCTCCCAGATGGATGTTCACCCCAGAACCGTTCCAGTGGAACACCCCCCAGTACAAGAAGCTTCTCGAGGATAAGCGGGGGGGTGTACCCCAGCCCTCCCAATCTTCAGTTTCCAAAGCGAATCTTTTGTTGGGGAGCCTTTTCTCGCGGCTGGGCTCCACAGCCGAATCTCGGGACTGTTCCTGGATAAGCAGAGAGGTGTACTGCAGCCCAACAAATATGTTCCGAACAAATCTTCTGGTGGGGAGCCTTTTTCCCGGGGCTGGGTCTCCAGCCCAATCTCGGGAGCTCCCAAATCTATTGTGCAAGAAACCCAATATGACCTTGCGTAAGGAGCCCAATCAAGCCAGTCTGTAGGGAGTCCACTGAGGCCTTCTGTAAGGAGCCCAGTCAGGCTTTTTTTTTCGGAGTCCAATTAAGAAGCCTGCGGTGAGGAGCCGGAGAAAGCCTTCCGATAAGACCTTCTGTAAGGAGCCCAAGTCAGCCTTCTGTAAGGCCCCCAATGAGGCCTTTTGTAAGGAGCTCAATCAGACCTTCTGTTAGGAGCGCAATAAGGCCTTCTGCAAGTAGCACAATCAAGCTTTCTGTAAGGAGCCCCATAAGGCCTTCTGTTCGGAGCCCAAGAAGGCCTTCTGTAAGGAGCCCAAGAAGGCCTTCTGGAAGGAGACCAAGACGGCCTTCTGGAAAGTCTCCCGAAGGGGTCTCAGATGGATTTTCACCCCAGAACCGTCCCAGGGTGTTCTTGGAACTCGAAAAAGTGAGTGTCAGGGTGTTTGAATCACCCCGGAACCGTTCCAAGTGGTTCTGGAACCTGAAACGGGGAAATTAGCTTGGAGAGGTCTGGAGAGTAGCGGGTATTGGTACCTCGTGGTTTCCCCAACCATGCTTCGGCGCGACCTGACCATGACCTGGCCACCGAAAGATCAACGTCCCGAGCCTTTCGAAGCTTCCCGTCCGGCGGAGCGGAGCGACACGATTTCAGCTCGCAGGGCAGCTCGCGGAGCGGCCCGTGCCGTTTTTGTACGCGGCCCAAAGATTTTAGAGGAAGAGACAGCGGCATGAACACAAAAGTTCGGAGGTCCGCGCGGATTTCTTGTATCTGCGCATGGCCCTCCTTGCGGCGCCGCTGGCGCCGCCCCTGGCGCTTTCTGCACGCCAGGGAAGGGGGCTCAGCGCCGTTCCAAAGAATTCGCGCGGACCTCCGAACAATTATATTCATGCCTTTTGTTCTTCCTCCGAGGACTTGCCGCAGCGCAAGTGCCGAGGAGCTGTTGTCCCAGATGTGTAGCGTAAGTTGATGCCGCTCGTGTGGAAGCTGTGGTGGCTCTTCAGCTTCCAGAGCGCCGCCTGGAGCCTGACCAGCTAGCGAGCCTCGGGTCGCTGCGCTCGCGCCTGCACGCTGTCAGGCTGGCTCCCGCTGGGCGGGGCAGGCCGCGGCGGCGGTCTGCCTCTGGGGCCGGCTGGCCCGAGGTGGGGGGAAACACTCCTCCTCCTCCTCCTCCTCCTCCTCCTCCTCCTCCTCCTCCTCCTCCTCCTCCTCCTCCTCCTCCTCCTCCCCCTCCTCCCCTTCCTCCCCCATCCCCCTCTGCTCTTCGGCATGCCGCCTGCCGCGCGCCCCGAGCGTTCCGGGAGGCGTCAAGAAGGAGGCCTCCTGCGTCAGGCTGAAGCCCTCTGGGGCCGCCTCGGGGCCATCTTGATTCAGGAGGAGAGGAAACACACAGACACAATTAATCGGCGATTCCCCAGAAAATATGGGAAGATATGAGAAGTGGGGGGAAGACAGAAACCCAGAAAATATTGGAAAAATATGGGGAATCTTTTCATTTGTGTGTATTGATTTGTGTGTCCCAGGGCCCCTTCACTTGGGCCGGACCGATCCGGCCCGAGGAGCGCCGCAGACAGACGGGGTCGACGGCTTTGGTCCCTTCTATGGTTCGCGATGCTGCGATGTGTACCTCCGAGAACTGGGACCAGAGCAAGAGGAGCCAGAAAAGAAGAAGGAGAGGAGGAGCAAGACAGTGAGGGGGATGATCGAGAATTTTTGGCCTCTGGACCGGAGGTCTCCAAAGGCCTGTGGGGGGCCTCTGGGGACCTCCAGCCTACCCCCTTTCTTTCCTTCCTTCACAGCCCTCCGACGCTACGTTTTTTTCGTGACTTGGGCCTTCAGAGCCCTTGACCCATTCAAAGGGACCAGGCTTTCATCCCGCGAGGGTCCCATGACCCGAAATGGTACCCAGCGGCCCATTCATTACGATTTATTCGGAGCGCCAGAAGTCTAGGGTCAAAGCCATGCTCTTGAACGTCTCCAGGGTACTTTCTGGCTAGAGGTTTAGAGCGGCTTCCGCCTTGGCGACGCGGGCGGCCTGAGAGGCGCACAAGTCTGGGCGACCCAAAAAGGGGTCCAGCTGCAAGGGGGTGATGCAATAGATTTGGGGCAATTGTATTGCAAACGTTTTGCGCTGGATAATTGTATTGCATTGTATTGTAACTAATGTATTGCACGCGAAAATCCAGCAATACATATGCACCCCGGAATGTATTGCACGCCCCAAATGTACTGCAACCCCACAAATCGATTGCACCAAATCTATTGCACCACCCCCTTGTCGCTGGACCCCCTTTTGGGTCAACCCAAACAAGTGCGCTCGGAAGCCATACGAAAGCCTCGACCGCCTCGACCGACGACGGCGGCGGCGACGACGGCGACGACGACTACGGCGACGGCGACGGCCGAGGCGGCGACGACGACGACGACGACGACGACGACGACGACGATGCGACGCCTGGCGCTGTGGGAGCTCCCGCGTCATCCCTGGTGTGAGGGAGGTCGCTCCTGTCGTCGTCGTTGTCGCCGCCGCCGTTGCCGTCCTCGTCGTCGCCGCCGCCGTCGTCGACGTCGTCGTCGTCGTCGGCGGCCTAGACGATCGAAGCCTTCGTATGCCTTCCGAGCACTTGTGGGCGGGAGGAGCGAGAAGGAGGAGGAGGAGGAGGAGGAGGATGAGGAGGAGGAGGAGGAGGAGGAGGAGGACGAGGAGGAGCGAGAGGAGGAGCGGAGGAGGGGAGGAGGGGACCGAGTGAGGAGCAGATCGAGGGGGAGGCGGGGGAGGAATGGAACGGAATGGAACGGAACGGAATGGAATGGCATGGCCAGGGGGCCCAAGGACGGCGTGCACAGAGCAGACTGCCATGGGAGCTCCCGCGTCTGCAAAGGGGGGCGCGGCGGGAGGTCGCTGCTGTTCCATCTGGGCGCTCGGGACCTGGAGGAGCAGACCCCGCAGGAGTGGAAGTGCGCCCCCGCCCCCCCCCTCCGCCGCCAGGAGCTTGGCATCGCTCGGACGTGTGCCTTTTTCCTCCGGCGAGGACCATCGAGGAGCATCCTTGATGATTTGGCGAAAAGCCACGCACGACACCGAAAAGAGCACAGGAGATGGACGTCCGAGCGATGCCCGGGGAGGAGCTGGGCGCCCGGAGGGGGGGGGGGAGGGCCTCTGCCTCGGAGCGCCCCCGCGGAGGCACGGCGTGCCCCCCAGAGAAGACCAGGGCGAGGAGGGCGAGGAGGAGGAGGAGGCAGGAGGAGGCAGGAGGAGGCAGGAGGAGGCAGGAGGAGGCAGGAGGAGGCAGGAGGAGGGGGGAGAGGGAGAGCAGGAGGAAAGAGGAGGAGACTGAGGGAGAGGCGGAGGAGGACTGGGGCGGAGTGGCATGGGCGGTGGTTCCCAAGATGGTGCAACACGGAGCCGGTTGCCGTGGACATCCTGTGGCCTCACCTGCGAGAGGCCCCGTCGCGGTCAGGAGCCTCGAGCCTCCCAGGCTGCTCGGGCGTCCAGGGCGCCGCGGAGGGAGCAGCCCGAGCCCTCCCACGTCTCGAGAAGCTCGAGAGGGAGGCTTTCCTCGATTTTTCGGCCTCCTGCAGCGGAAGCCCATGCCAAAAGGCACCCTGCTTGCCTCCAGGGTACCCTGGGCTTCGATGGTTTTGCCATGGAGAGCGTGGCGTTCACCCACCAAAAGTCGATGGACGTCTTGGGGTTGGGTTTCTTGTGGAAGGTTTCTTGTGGTCGAGCTTCTAGTTGCTGTGTCGAGGACAGTCGCCCAGAACCAAGCCTGTCTGACGTGGTGGCCGCCGTTGCTCAGCGAACCGACGTCATCAAGGAGGGCCTGGGCATGACAGCGTACATCAGCGCTGGCAAAGTAGTGGAGAGAGTAAAGCCGGCGCTCCGGAAAGTACTCTGGCGAATCGAAATCGAGAAGTTTCTGTTTCACATACTCGTGGCACAGACCGAATTGCATGACAAAGATTTGTCGCGGAGGCGATACGATGAAGCAGTTCGCCGACGAGGCGAAGCGAGGTTAGCAGTTCCCCAAGCAATGCATGGGCAGCGCTGCGCCCCTGACGAACGCCACCGATCAGGAGTGGCAGCAGAGGCAAGCGGAAGCAGTGCAACGTGGACGACATATGGAATACGAGTTCGATGAGGCCTTTTTTGCACTTCGGCGTAAGCACGCTGCCGAGTTGCAGGGTTCGTGATCGATCACCAGGACGCCGCCTTCAAGTACTACAAGCAGAAGTTCTGGCCTGAGTCCGTGCATGAGGCGGTCATATCAAAGGTCAGAGTGTGGGCGGGACAACACCCGCACCTGACAGAGGCTAACAAGGCCAACGTCGACAAAGCAACACGACAGTATTGTGCGGCTTGCCTCCGCGAAGACATCCCCTTCTGCCCGGAGAGGGTCACGAAGAGTAAGATGGACCAGTTGAAGCGGGAGAAGAATCTGGCGAATGCTTCCAGGAAGATCGCGGAGCTGGATACTACCTCTAATACGAAAGCTGACGTTGCAATGGCGGCGCTGGAGCAGAGCAAGGAGACGGCGGTGGAGGTACACAGGGAACACGACCTGGAGGTTGACGGCACTGACAGACGGCCAAAACCAGTTCATCAAGTCCCAGCTGGTGGAGTTCGCGAACCTTTTGGATGACAAGCCACTCGTGCTTCTATATTCAAGGATTACCATACAAACCACCATCTAATCAGCAACACCGCCGCCCAGCTGGCATCGAAGGCTTCGTCAAGAGTGTTTTCACGAGGTCGCCCGACGACTCGGAAGGCGGCGGGGAGCGCCTCGATAGCGTCATCGGCGCGCCTCGGCCGAAACCCATCAAAAGCAAGGGCCACGGCCTCGGGCGCGGCAAGGGCCAGAAGACAGGTCGTGTGCAGGCTTCAAGGCAGTTATGACAAATTTGGAGGCGACCTCGGCATTCGTATTGGGCAGACAGCAGCTGGACGGAAGGGAACCCGGGGAGATACCATGTCGCGTGCGTGCTGCGGGCAAGGTTCGGTGATCTGACCGTTCGGCCAGACCCACAACGGGTCCACGGCTTCCTGGACGAGAAGACCAGGAGTCGACGTCCAGAATTCGTTCATGCATGTTTGAGCTGCGGCAGCAATCTTATTTGCGACAGTGTTCTATCCTGCGTAGTGGACGTCAAGCCGCCCCTCGCGCGCCTGGCAAGGCAGATGAATTTAGAAAGAGTCTTTGGGCCACCGCGGCCAATTAGCAGTCCATACTTCCCGCGGCCAGCCGCCAGAATAATTAGTTTTTGAGACCCACCCGAAGACGAGCACGTACAACAGCGACATCGTTGTACAGCTGACGTTCTCGACAGGGAGTACACGCCTATGCCAATCAAGAGCAATGCGACCTACTTCGGCCGACGGGCCATGAGGTGGCTTAGAATGAAGCAGATACCGTCGTATATCTAGACGCACACCATAACTTTTGAGATGTATGATTCCTTATTTCATGAGCGAAAAACGAGTGCCATGACCATGTGGCGAACTGACGATAGTCGCGGTACAGGTATAAGAGGGCGATCTCCACAAGAAGACGAATGCAGACACATTAGCTTTACGATTATTCCCCGCGCATCCCTGGACAGAGCAAGGCGACCACGAGTACCTGAGCCAGAACATGATCCACTTTCCGGAAGAATCGCTTGACCATAACAGTCTGGAGGGTTCAGGACCCGTCCGAAAACAAAATAATGAGTTCTTGTCATTGGTAAGCTGATCGTCAATATGGCAAAGTCTTGGTGCCCAAAAGTGCAGCATAGCTCTATGCGATTTGTTGGCCCCTGTGCAAAATGAGTGCCCCGGCCTGTGGTGACAAATGCCGATTCCTTGTTGGACGCAGTTAGGCCATTGACGAGTCTCCGACGACGACGAGATACACGTCATAGACACCAAGAAATTTTATCCCTCAATTGACCAGCAACACTTGGTTTCTGTCGTCGCAATGCAACTTTCCAATATAGGACGCGCAGGTGGCACCTGTATCTAGCGCGAATGACCAAAGAATTAATCGGAATTGTCATGTGGCGCCGATATGTACAACATGAAGGAACCCTACACCATATTGTTGTAGGCATTGCGACGGGCACGGCCCGCGGAGTATTTACGGCAAGTATCTATCTCGGCGAGCTTGACACTCCCGGAGCACGATTTCCACATGTTCGTCTATGGAGGTGTTTCGTCGACGACGGCCTGATGGTAATGCCCCCGCACACGGCACTCGAAGCCCACAAGTTGGTATTGCAGCAGTTCTACAGGAGCATCCAGTGGGACAACCCAAAATCCGGCAGACATGGCATTGAGTATCTTGATGTGGAAGTGTCCGCGCGCTCCGTCTGGATCACGTGGGAATTGTACGTCAAGCCTCTGAGCTAGCATGTGTACGTTCCCAGATGTGCATGCCACCCACCGCAAATTTTTTCAGTAGCCCTATTCGAAACCCCGCGCATGCGAAAGACAGCGTAGGTCCGACAACACACGGTTGCATGGTTTTCTCTGTCTACCATGTTGGACGTTAAGAACTCCGAGGTGAGTGCGGCAAACCATGGGGAGGAGGGTCGCGCAGATACGCCGCGTACAACCCAAGTGACTTATGAGGCTCTTCCCCTTGACCTGGCGTTGGGCGGGCAGGGCGTCATGAGGACACGTGGAGCCATACTTTATTGCAACCGCATCTTGATTGTAGATCGCTCGCGCACTGCTGCCATCTGCGGCTCATTAGACGAGTCTCAGCGCAATAGCGTTTTTTGCACCTTGAGATTGCCACGTCAAAACAAACGACGAAGGTTTTTCCAGGACCGTCAAACAACAACGCCGAATGAAGAGCCGGCCCTGGGGAAAGGGCCCAGAACTGTGGGACCGCCGTCTTGAGAAATTTCAGGCGTCAGATGTCTGGGGTCGCCGAGAAATGCAGACAGAGAAACAAGTAAATTTCGATCTCAAGGAGCACATGCAAAACTAAAACGAAGGGGGAGACGGAGATCCATATTTTTTTTGTTAAAAAAACACGGAATCTTGGACCCTGTGTTTATTTTCTCCTATTCATTACGTGTCTCTCCTTGGCAAGCTCGGACGGGGGGGGGGGGGGGGGAAATCGAGCCCGAGCGCGGGGAGCGAATTGGGGCGGCTCCCGCTCTTGGCCTCCTGCTGCTCTCCATCTGCTCTTCCTGCTCATCCCATTCGCCCTCGCCCTTGCCCTGCTCCCCCTCCTCCCCTACCTCCTCCTTCTCCTCCTCCTCCTCTTCCCCCTCCTCCTGCTCCTCCTCCTCCTCCTCCTCCTTTTCGTTTTCCTTCTCCTCCTCCGCCTCCTCCTCCTCCTGCTGCCCCTTAGCTTCCGCTCGCTCGCTCCTCCTCTTCTTCCTCCCGTTCCTTCTCGCCCGCCTCCTCCACAATGAAGCAATATTACACCTGAGAAAACTCAATCAGTGGATGATTAATTAGTCACATGGATCCTTAGATCGATTGTGAGATCGATCATGAGATCGATAGTGGAATCGATCGAGGACGATTGTAAGGTCGATCGTGAGACCGAGAGTGACATCGATTCAATGAGATCGATAGGGAGATCGATTGCGAGATCGCCCGTGCGATTTCTAGTGAGATCGCTTGTGAGATCGATGGTGAGATCGATAGAGAGGTGTGAAATGATATCGATGCTGAGACCGACCGATCAGAAGATCGACCAGGAACTCGGGAACCTGGGAAACTCGCCGTACCCCGAAACCGGCCCGGGAACCCAGGAACCCAGAACCGGGAGCCCGGGAACCCAGCGTGCGACCAAAATCGGCGGGGAACTTCCGCCAAATCTTCCAACCTCCGCTAGGACCCCTTCAGTGCAAGCGCTGATCGGGGAATGAATACTACTCTCCTCTCTCCCCTGGTGGCGTCCGGGAAATGTCTGGCCCCCCTCCGCGTGTGGTTTTTTACAAAGGATTCCCAGGAATGGGGTTTTCGTTTTTTTTAATGCTGCTCTCGCTGAAGCGCTGGCTTCATTTTCGGACTAGCGCTCGTTCCGCATCGTGCTCCCGCTGCGGCGCTGGCAGCGCTTCCGTCATTATTCAATCGCTTCGCTCATTCCGCCGGCCCATGTTGCATGATCGCTACTGCTTCGCCGTGGGCCCGGGGCCATTGTGGCGCCGCCGAGGAGGAGGAGGAAGATGAGGATGGGGAAGGGGAGGGGAGGAGGAGGAGAGGCTGAGAAGTAGAGGAGGAGAATGAAGATAAGAAGTAGGAGGAGGAGGAGGAGGAGGAGGAGGAGGATGAGGGGGAAGGGGCAGAGGAGGAAGCCTCTTGTCGGCATCTTGTGTTGCTCTTGGGGCCAAACAAGGTCGTCGTCGATGCTTCTTTTGGAGGCCTCTTGGGGTCTTTTGAGAAGCCGTTCGGGGGATCCTGGGAGGCATTTTTGAACTTCTGGGGCCTCTTGGGGCCTCTTTTGGGCCTCCTGGGGGCCTCCTGGGGCCTCTTGGGGGCCTCTTGGCGGCATCTTGGGGCCTCTTGGGGGCCTCTTGGGGGCCTCTCGGGGCCTCCTGGGGCCCTCTTGGGGCGGAAGGCTCGAGTTTTCGGTTCGTGGTCCCCCTCTTGGGCCCCTCTTGGGGCCGTCGTGGGGCCGTCTTGGGCCGGCGTGGGCGCCTCTGGGGCCGTCTCGGCTCGGGGCCCAAGGCCCTCTTGGGGCGTCTTGGGGTCATCATCGGCGTCTTGGAGCGCTCTTTGGGCGTCTCGGGGGCCTCTTGGACCGTCTGGGAGACCTCGTGGGGCCCTCTTGGACCGATTCGGAGCCCTCTGGGGCTCCGAAAAAGAGTCCCGGCATCCTTGAACAGACCTTGCCGGGACCTTGCCAGGATCTTGCTGGGGTACTTTTCGTCCGGGGACCCCCAGGGCCCGCCCCGCGCGCGCGAACTAGAAATATTGTTTACCAGCTACCGGAGATCTTAGCACGCCTCTGGCCCGTTGGGCCGGCGAATTTCCAGCGCCATGCCACGGCATGGTTTTCGGCCCTTCCAAATAGGATCCAAAATCTAGAAAATGCCCCCCCGAAACAAACATCGGAAATGATTCCACATTCGGTGTCGATTCGTCGATTTCTTGGGCCGCAGAAGCCCCTCCAATTTTCGGGCGTCGCCAATACATGCTATGTCAGGCTACGCGTCCTCATTTCCGCGCTTCCGCGCTTGGGCTTTCGTTCGAAATGCTGCTCTCGCTGATGCGCTGGCCTCATTTTCGGGCTACCGTTCGTTCCGAATCGTGCTCCCGCTGCAGCGCTGGCGTCATTTCCGCGCTTCCGCTCGTTCCGAATCGTGCTCCCGCTGCAGAGCTGTGCCATGCCGCGGCATGGTGTTCGGTCCTTCCAAATAAGCCCCGAAATTTCACAAATGGCCTCCCGAAGAAACCATCGGAAGTGATTCCACATTCGGTGTCAATTCGTGGATTTGGGGGCTGCAGAAGCTCCCCCCACTTTGGGGCGTCGCCGGGCCATGCAATATCATACTGCGCGTGAATCTTCAACACCATGCTATGCCATATAATGCTAGGCCATGCTACGACATCCGATTGTGCGAATAGAAAGGAGATCTACACCATGGTAAGGGATGGGAGGGAAGGGTAGGACGTCAGATATGACGCGAGCACACCTTGCTTGCCCTCCTTCCCCTCTCCCTCCTCCTCCTCCTCCTCCTCCTCCTCCTCCTCGTCCTCCTCCTCCTCCTCCTCCCCTCCTCCTCCTCCTCCTCCTCCTCCTCCTCCTCCTCCTTCCCTCCTCCTCCTCCTCCTCCTCCTCCTCCTCCTCCTCCTCCTCCTCCTCGCGTTCCTCGGTCTGCTCCTCGCCCGTTTCTTCCCCCGCCTTCTTGCCCTCCTCGCCCTCCTCCTCCTCCTCCTCCTCCTCCTCCTCATCCGCTCGCCCCCTCCTCGAGCAGGGCGTCGCGCCAGCCGCTCGGGGCGCCCTCCGCGGGCCGCGCGCGGGAGGTAACTAGGCCGCAGCCTCCTGGCAGGCTCCAGACGCTCGCGCTCTGCTCGTCGGCGCCCTCTCTCGCTGCTCGTGGGGTCATGTTTCGCCCGTCGCACAGCTGAGGCCGTCGTCGTCGTCGTCGTCGAAGTCGGGCACTCTCGTCGGATCTCGGCTGTTTTCCAGCCTCGGGATGCCTTTCGGCAGCTGCGCCTCGCCGAGAGCTCTCCAGGGGTGCCCACAGATCGTCCCGAACGGCCGCCGGAGGCCCGAGTTGTGACCCGAAAACGGAACGGATGGTGGAGGTTCCTGGGGTCTGGGCTCGGGGAGGTTTCGTTCTCTTAGCGCTTTCCGCTGCATCCCTCGCTACATCACCCCCCGCCCTCCCCTCCCCCTCGTTCCTCTCCTCCTCCGCCCCCGCCTCCTGGCGCACACTCCAAGTCCCCAAACTCCGAGCATGGCGCGTAGGGACAGCGCACGCGAAAATTATAATCCTCTGCTCCCTACCTCTTTCCTGACACGTCTGGCCGGTCAGGCTGCACCTTCTTACCCCAGGCTGTGGGTGGGTGGGGGGGGGGGGGGGGGCAGAGGCCTTGCAACCCTCATCCTCGCACTGCGTGAGCCCCACGCCTGCGACACCACCAGAGCTCACGAACACAGGACAGCCAATGACTCCGATGTGCCTGGCGCGGCCTACCTGGGCACTGCAAGACAAGCCAGTGCCCATCTCTCCTCGGTAGTTCTGTGGCGAGCCTCCGCGCGCTCGCGCGACCGCGCCCGAGGTCGCGCCCGCTCAAGATCCACCCGGAGCCAGCGCCGCGGAAGGACCCGTTGTGCGCGAGGGGGGGAGGAGGGAGGGAGGAGGGAGGAGGGAGGAGGGAGGGGGAGGGGGAGGGGAGGAGGGGGAGAGGAGAGGAGGAGGAGGAGGAGGAAGAGAGGAGTAGTAGGAGGAGGAGGAGGAGGAGGAGGAGGAGGAGGAGGAGGAGGAGGGGGAGGAGGAGGAGGAGGAAGGGGGAGGGGGGAGGGGAGGGGGAGGGGGAGGGGGAGGAGGAGGAGGAGGAGGAGGAGGAGGAGGAAGAGGGGAGGAGGAGGAGGAGGAGGAGGAGGAGGAGGAGGAGGAGGGAGGAGGAGGACGAGGAGGGAGGAGGACGAGGATGGAGGAGGAGGACGAGGATGGAGGAGGAGGAGGAGGAGGAGGAGGAGGAGGAGGAGGAGGAGGAGGAGGAGAGGGAAGAGGAGTAGGAGGGGGAGGAGGAGGAGGAAGAGGAGAAGTTGTGTTGGATAACGATGATTGTGATGCTGCTGGTGATGCTGATGTTGGTAATGAAACTAGTGATAGTGATGGTCCAGTGGTGGTGATAGGGATGGTGACGATGCTGATGGTGATGATGGTGATGGTGCCGATGACGCTGAAGATGTCGATTATGGCGATGGTGGTGATGATGGTCATAATAATGATAATGGTAATGCTGCTGATGATGATGCTGATGGTGACGGTGACGGTGATGGTGCTGGTGGTCATGGTGATCGTGCTGGTGATGATGATGGTTGTTGCTGAGGATGATGCTAGTGATGATGATGATGTTGATGATTATGATGATGCGGAGGAGGATGATGATAATGATGATGAGGATCATACTGATAACGAGGCTGATAATGGTTATGACGATGATGACGACGGCGACAACGACAATGATGTTGATGATGCTGATGATGGTGTTGGTGATATCGCTGTTGATAATGGTAAATCTGGGCATGCTGGTGATGCAAGTGATGATGTCAATGATGATGATGATGATGATGATGATGATCAGTATGATGATGATGATGATGATGATGATGATGATGATGATGATGATGATGATGATGATGGTGATGATGATGATGATGGTGATGCTGGTGATGATGATGATGTCGATGCTGATGCTGACGCTGGTGATGCTAATGATGGTGATGATGCTATTGATGCTACTGACGATGATGATGACAATGAACAGGATGCTGCTTTTGGTAGCGATGTGCATGCTGCTGGCCGTAATGACGATGATGGTCACCATGGTAATGATATTGATAAACTTGGTAATGACAACTCTCATGGCGATGGTTATGGTGATGATGATGATGCTGCTGATGCTGCCGATGATGATGACGATGATGATGACGATTAACATGCTGATGATGATGATGATGCTGATGATGCTGCTGATGATGGATGGTGATGGTGATGATGAGGATGGTGATGCTGACGTTTTTGTTGTGATGATGATGAGTAGGAGGAGGCGGATGAGGCGGAGGAGGGGAAACTGAAGAAGGAGGAGGAGGAGGAGGAGGAGAAGACGAGGAGGAGGAGTTGGAGGAGGAGGTGTATGAGGAGGACAAGGAGGAGGAGGAGGCGGAGGAGGACGAGCAGCATGAGGAGCAGGAGGAGCAGGAGGAGGAGGAGGAGGCGGAGTAGGAGGAGGAGGCGGATTAGGAGAAGGAGGAGGAGGAGGAGGAGGGTGAGGAGGAGGAGGAGGAGGAGGAGGAGGAGGGAGGAGGAGGAGGGAGGAGGAGGAGGAGGAGGAGGAGGAGGCGGATTTTTGGATTGCACGCGTCTTGAAACAAAAAAGGAGGAGGAGGGGGGAGGGGGGGGGAGGAGGAGGAGGAGGGAGTGGAGTTCAGCGTCACGCAGGAGGGAGGACGGAGGAGGGAGGGGAGGACGGAGGACCGCGGAGGAGGTCGGCGGACCGGGCCTGCGTCGAGGCCCCGCGGAGGCCTCCGGGGGCCCGCGGAGAGGAGGCGGGCAGGTGCAGAGGCGGGAGGGGCGCGGGCAGGAGCGGGAGCGGGAGCGCAGGACCCAGACCCCCTCGAGTAATGAACAAATCATGACGGGAGGTTTTTCCTAGTTTTCGGCCTCTGGGGGCCCTCACCGGGCCTCGGGAGCGTCAAAAAACGACTCAGGATGCAAAGCCGGTCATGGGGAAAGGGTCGGGACCTCTGGGGGTCGACGTTATGAAAAAATCATTACGTAGGGGGTCTGGGGAGGGCCGAGGACCGAGGCGAGGAGCCGGGGAGTGCATCGCCAGGCAACGGTCGTATAATTATGCATGCCGTCCGCCCCTGTTTTGTTGCGGGATGGGAGTCCGGCCGTCGGGGGGAGGATCCTCAGCAGCAGCACGGTGGCGAAGGTCAGGCTCAGTTTCAAGCTTGGAAGTCGACACCTTGTGCACACATTGACTTCCCTGAACAGGGGGGTGCACAATCGAATGTCATGCCTCAGTGTGCTCACAAGGAGCTGCGCGAAGTTCACTGGTTGGAGGCTTGGGTAGGAGGTGGTGCTTCTATTTCATTCGTAGCGTCAGATTCGAGTAAGCACACCGCGCCGCTCCCGCCGCGCCGATCCGCAGCAGTTTTACGACCTAGAGCGCTTTCGCAGCAAGGCCACTCGCCTGCTAGCGTGAGTCTTACGGGGCCAGACAGATATGTGCAATTTGAAAACGTTGTCTCAATCAATTAGAGGGAGGGTCGAGGATATCGAGAACATCGAGGATATCGAGAGTGATCGATAATCGAGGAGGATATCGAGGATAGCGGGGATGTCGAGGATGATCGAGGATCGAAGAGGATCCAGGAGAATCGAGGAGGATCCACGAGCATCGGGGAGGATCGTGGAGGATTGCGGAAGATCGAGGATCGAGGTCGGATCGAGGATCGAAGAGGATCGAGGATCGAGGATCGAGGATCGAAGAGGGGGAGGATCGAGGATCGAGGAGGATCGAGGATCGAGGATCGAAGATCGAGGATCGAAGAGGATCGAGGAGGAGAGGATCGAGGATCGAGGATCGAGGATCGAAGAGGATCGAGGATCGAGGATCGAGGATCGAGGATCGAGGATCGAAGAGGATCTAGGTTCAAGAGAGGCGGGGAGGTCCTGGGCGCTCTTGTGGCCACGGCAAGGCCCGCGTCGAGAATGTGTCCAGAACGCGCTCCTGGACAAGTCAGGGGGTCGATTCCCAGAGGAGGAGCAGGAGGAGGATAAAGAGGTACGCGGATCAAAGGGGGGTCGATTCCCGGATGAGGGTGAGGAAAAGAGAAGAAGAGGAGCAGGAGGAGGATAAAGAGGTACGCGGATCAAAGGGGGGGCGATTCCCGGAGGAGGGTGAGGAAGAGAGAAGAGGAAGAGCAGGAGGAGGATAAAGAGGTATGCGGATCAAAGGGGGGGCGATTCCCAGAGGAGGGTGATGAAGAGATTCGAGGAGGAGCAGGAGGAGGATAAGAGGTACGCGGATCAAAGGGGGGGCGATTCACGGAGGAGGGCGAGGAGGGGAGAAGAGGAGGAGCAGGAGGAAGATAAAGAGGTACGCGGATCAAAGGGGGGGCGATTCCCGGAGGAGGGTGAGGAAAAGATTCGAGGAGGAGCAGGAGGGGGATAAAGAGGTACGCGGATCAAGGGGGGGCGATTCCTGGAGGAGGGGGAGGCGGAGAGAAGAGGAGGAGCAGGAGGAGGATAAAGGACAAAGAGGTACGCGGATCAAAGGGGGGTCGATTCCCGGAGGAGGGGGAGGCGGAGAAAAGAGGAGAAGCAGGAGGAGGATAAAGAGAGGTAAGCGGATCCAAGTCGATGGGCGTTTTGGTGAGGTTTGGTAGTAGGGCCTCCAGATGAGCCTCCAGAGGCCAGGAGGGTGGGAGCTTTGAGGACCTCCCAGGCCTTCTAAGGACCTCCGGGGGGAGGAAGAGGACCCACACATGCTGGTCGTTGGAAACATGTGTTTTCGGATTCACAGATCACAATCTACTCCAAGCGCCTTCCTACTTCAAGAGTCGATGTGGTGTTGCTGCTGCGTGTCATTATTTGGGCGGGGCCAAACCCAAACTACTTGAGCCGCCTTCCTACTTCATGTTTCTACGTACTTTTTCCGACTGGCGTGCACCCCATATTTCATTCGTGTCAGGGAAGTACAGACGGACGATTTTGCTCCTCAGTTTAGGCCCCTGGCGGGGCCCGCTTCGGGCTCTGAGCATGCTAAAAGAAGGCCTGGGATGATATGGCCGTCGTCGGGAAGGGGTCGAGGGCTCTGAGGCCCTACGCCACGGGACATCGTGATGTCGGATGTCTGGGGCGGAGGCGCAGGATAAGAATGATGATGGACATGCATATGATAATGATGATGATGATGTTGATGCTGATGCTGATGCTGATGCGGATGATGATGATGCTGATGATGCTGATGATGATGACGATGATGCTGATGCTGATGATGATGATGATCATTATGATGATGATGATGATGATGATGATGATGATGATGATGATGATGATGATGATGATGAGGATGATGATGATGATGATGACGATGAAGACGATGATGACGATGATGGTGGTGCTGATGGTGATGATGCTGCTGATGATGCTGATGATGATGCTGATGATGATGCTGATGATGATGATGATGATGCAGATGAGAGGAGGGTGGAAGAGGAGGAGGATGTTGGCGTTGTTAGTGATATTGTTGATGGTGATGACGATGGTGAGGATGAGGAAGGGGATGGCGGCGGTGGAGGGGGTGGAGGGGGACGAGAGTAAACCCAGGATGCGTCAGCGATGCTGAGGTGCACCTTCCCGTGCCCGAGCCCCCTCCTCGTAAGCTCCTGCAGGCCTTCCCTCTCCCTGCGGGAGGCACCCCGTGGACAGACGAGCGCCACACGGGCATGCCATTCGGGCGAGGGTCCAGTTCCGACAGGTTGCCCTGCAGCACTCTTGCGTTCCGGAACGCGAACAGGTAGGATCAGCGAGCTCAAGGAAGTTTCCGACGAACGCCATGCACCTTTTTTTGTTTTTGCATTCT